TGAATACAAACTATAAAAACCCATTCATATTTCAATTTTACAAGTAGACAAATTTTAAGCCTTCAGATAACTATAATTCTTTATATAGTACCTTGCTATTGTAGGGGTAACCCATAATATAAAGGCATGACTGTTAGTGTGCTTTAATTAGCCTACTCCACAAGAAATAAGGGGCAAGGGATATTGGTGAACAAGTATTACCAATCAATCCTATTCCCTTTTAATTATAATGTCCACTGTGGTCAAAGCACCCTATAATAATTATTATTTACTCTCTAACAGCAGATGATCTTAGTCATCTTACTCATCAAGGGCAATTTTGTATTTTTGTACCTTGATGAGTAATACGCATACAAAATACTAAACTGTTTCATTACATATTTTATGTCTGAACCTTTGACATTGCAACAAAATAGGTTTGGGTGGGGTAAAAACATTTTCTGGCATTCCACCAGTGGGGTAGCTAGAAATTTTGTTTCGAAAAAGGTGGGGTAATGATTTTTTCTGGCTTCATTATACTTTCTCTTCGGCCCCCACCCCTGCCATAAATAATGACCGGTCCCTAATGTGTTTTTTCAGCAGTTGACATATATAGAGCTCAGCGGAAACATATAAATTACAGCATCTGACCAATGAGAATTTCGCGTCACGATTTGAGACGCAGATATTCAAATTCATTAGTCATCGATGCAGGCTCTCAATTCAGCTTGAGAGCCTGTTCGCAGGCTAAACATATACCTTTCCATTGATATAAATAATTAATTCACAGCGTTACGTTTGGCGCCAAAAGATACCAAATCCTGTGGCTCAAAAACTTTCGGAAGTTTTCGGAAACACGAGGAAAAAGTTAAAAACAGATTTTTAATTGAACATAATTGATAATTCACTCAAAAATTCAAGAAATAGTGAAACATTCTTCTGCACTAATGCACTTGGATGAATATTTAAGTTGTTCGGAAAAAATCCTTAGATTTTTTCTCTTCCTTAGATTTTCCTTTTCGACACTAGAATTTCCTTAGAAAAGGAAATTTCCTTAAAAATGGAAGCACTGACATGCGCGCAGAAGCAAACGTAGAGTGCACGTGATTATCGCACACTGAATTATGTATGTTTTATTGCGGCTCAACTATTTCGCTGACCTCAGAATGACATTTTGTCAAAACTTTTTTCTTCAAGATTGGTTTACAAACAAATTTGGAGTAGGGTTCGATTAGGGTAAGGATTAGGGTTATGGTTAAAGTTGGTGTTTGGAGTAGGGTTAGTGTTAGTAAAACCGTTGCTTTGATAATCATTTCCGTCTTTTACCGACTCACAATTTTTGGGTTTTGGCAACTGCATGAGAAATGTTAGCCGTTGAACTTTATTAAGAAGTACGAATAAGAACATTATTAATTAACATTGTTAGATATTTATACTAAATCGTCGTAATCCATTGATTTCATGCGATCAAGCATTATCTTCAAAATCATGCAGACCTTTATCATTTAAATAATATACCTTCAAAATACTGACAATTGATTAACTTTAAGCGGCTACTTTATCCATGGCAAACTGCAAAGAATCATATTGCCCATACTTTCCTGCAACTTCTCGGTCTTCTTCCAGTGTTTTTTAAGGTTTTTTCATATCCGTGCTATTACATTGTATGGAAAGGTTTTGCTTTTACCAATGGTAAAATATATTTTTATAAGTAAGTGTCTGATTGCTTGATCTCTTGGTTGGTTGATTGAACACGTCAATTGAACAGTTCGTTAATTGATTGATTGATTTTATTATTTAGTCCTTTTCCGTTTACTGTTCAGTAAACTTAACTAATTTAACGAATATTGTGAAGAAGGATCCGCAGTAATTGGCTGTAGCTGTTGCGGAAATCCTGCCTTGTTTATATATATAGTAATTTGATGTTTCTTCTTAATATTGTTACCAAGGCAAAGTTAGATAAATTAAATCAGTTACATATATAGTTAATACGCCTTCGCCCATTTAGTACTACAAAATTGCAAGCAAATTGTAAATTTCGACATACTAAAACGCTGTTTTCTGACTATCAGAATTCTGTCAAAACTTCCCCCAAAGTCCAGGAAATAGGATTTCAGACTCTCTAAATTAACCCCCAATCAAAAAGAGCTTCCTACGGCACTGCATGTTCCTTTAATATGTCTGTGCGTAAAATATGCGTATTTTTGTTTGCATGTAAATCTCATTTTCCAGATAGCAAACACCTTCGTGGTTTCGTATGCCATAAAATATTCGGACATTTTTTTTGTCATTCGGAAATTTTTGGCCTACACCCCCATCTATAAATGCTAGCTACGGCCCTGCGGCCCCGTTGCAATACCACGAAAAATAGTGGGGGAAGGGCGGATTTTTTGGGACCCTGACCCTGTATTTAATACACAGCCTTTGGGGAATTTCAGGGTAGAGCTGTGCATATTGGGAAGCGCCACATTCGGCACAAGCCAGTATATTTACCAACAAGCAAAATACAAAATGCGGTTCATCAAGCCCTCTGTTATAATTAATGACGTAATTATTACGTGGACACCACGCGTGTGTCACGCAATTCTGCGAGCACATGGAATATTAATGTCTTGAGTGGAAGTTCTGAGTAGAGCGAGTTAAGAAGTGATATATAATTTTTAAAAGTTTATTTTTCATTTAAAAACGAGTTGAGTTCAATTATTCGAGTATAGTTCAATTTATTACATGGTCATTCGAGCCGGATATGTCTACTGAAAAGAGTAAAAGAGCAATTCGACGAGGAAATCGAGCTTTCGTAACGAAAGTTATTCAGACGGCAAATGACGCCATTGACAAGTTTGGTGGAACTCAGGCGGAGAAAGATGCGTTAGAGGGTTGTAAAATCACGTTAATCGATAAGAAAGAATCCATAAGAAAGCTTGATGAAGCTATTCTGAATGAAATTGAAGATGAAGAGAAGATTATGGAAGATAAAATTTCAGGCTGGCGAAGTGGGTGAGTCGATCAATAAAATGCTTGTTAAAATTGACAATGTTTTGAAGACAGTTGAAGCGAGCAATGTGTCCTCGCCAGGGGGACTGGGTACAACCATGCCTAGCGTAAGTCAGCCAATGTACCCCTCATCAGCCAGAGCAAAATTACCAAAACTGTCCTTGAAGAAATTAGCTGGAAATCCTACTGAGTGGCAATCATTTAACGATAGCTATAAAGCTGCTGTTCACACTAATGACAGTTTATCTAAAGTTGACAAATTCAACTACTTGAAAAGTCTGGTGGAGGGTCCGGCAGCTGCAGCAATCGCAGGGTTTTCGTTAACTGATGAAAACTATGAGACTGCTTTTAAACTTTTGGAAGAGAGATTTGCAAATCCACAAATTATAGTTTCCAGTCATGTTGAAGCCCTATTGAAGTTGGAACCTGTTTCTAATATACATGAAATTGTCAAGATTCGAAAGCTGTATGACAGTATTGAAACGCATATTCGTAGTCTAGCGAATTTGAACATAGAAAGTGAAACATATGGGACTCTTCTGATTCCAATGATTCTTGCTAAACTTCCAGAGGAAATGCAGTTGATAAGTCGGAAAGTTGGCAAGGATGATTGGAAATTAGATGAGCTACTTAAGGAATTTAGAATTGAGTTAGAGGCTCGAGAAAGGTGCTTGTTGTTACAAAGCACTACAGAGAAAAAGGACGGTACCAGGAGAAAATATGAGCCTAGTACATCATCAGCACTTTTCACGGGAAGTGACAATCGTTCAATTCAGAAATGTACGTACTGTGGGGAACAACATTTATCATCACGGTGTAATATAATTACAGATATTTCAGCACGTAGAGCTATTCTCCGAAAAAAGGGACGGTGTTTTGCATGTTTGAAGTCTGGTCATATAGTCAGACATTGTCCTTCCAAGTTTAAATGCCCGAAATGTGGAAATAACCATCACATTTCTCTCTGTGAAGGTATAAAACCAAGGGA